TGGACAGAGAGTGTGGCCAGTGGGCAGAGCACTAGGCTAAGGGTACAGATGTGCCTTGTTCCATATACAGGGATACCTGGGGGGACTGGGATAGAGAGCAAATTGACCAATAGGACCACTGTGGGATAAAAACACTGGAATCCTGACTGCTCTTTAGAATCAGCTGGAGAACTTTGAAAGTATAGACAGCTCAGATAAACTAAATCAGAGCCTCTAAGGACAGGGCCCGAGTATTTTCAAAAGTTCCCCAGTTGATTTCAACGTGCAGCAAAAGGTGGAAAAAAATGACATACACAAAGATTCATCAGTAATATTCTATGAGGTATATTACCCTCACTTTACAAGAAAATAAAGAAGTGACTTGCTCTCAAAACAGAATCAATCCGGACTGGCCTAATTTAAAAAAAAAAAAAAAAATTTTTAAAGAGCCATCTGTTTTAATCCTTCATCCTTTCCCATCTGCCCATCCAAATTCAGAAGCTCCTTTAAATCTGCCCAGACCCCTTTAACTACAAATATCTATCCTGACCGTGGACCACACAAATCAATGTCCCCTCAAACTGGACAATGGATTCAAAATTGAGTGAGGACTAAGGTCAGTGGAAACACTCCCAGTATACACAGGAAATGCAAGAATGCATTAGGACAGACACTCTTGCCTGTTCAACACCGAAAGGAATCAATTTTGCTAAAAGCTTGAAGGCTTTACTGCTTACTAGGGTGAAGTTGCCACATGACAGCTATTGTTTATAGAATACTATGTCATACCCTGTTGAGTGTCACATACTCGGCACATCAATACATTCTCGAGATATCAACAGAAGATAGTTGTTTCCTATTGTTATCCGCCATTTTACAGATGAGAAAAAAGAAACTCTGGTAATTATGTAGCTTGCCACTCACTCTACTGGCTTCAAAGCCTTAATATCATATTGCTCCCTAGAACGAGCACCTGGATTAGAAGTCCTTGTCCCAGTTCTGCCACTGCCATGGTGTCCCTGTGTGACCTTGGGCAAATCTATGTTCTCATCTCTAAACAGTACTGAACTAGGAACTGACTAACGGCCTCTATCAGTTAATCTACACATGATCCTGCAACCTGGGTTACACTGTTCCAGCTCAATCACCGCTGGGCTGCAACCCTGGACTTGTCCAGTCTTCTCTGTATTTCAATCTCTTCCTCAATAAAGCAGGATGATCATATCTGCCTTAATAGCCTTTTGAATCATTTTCTTCCTGTTAACTGCTGTCTAATCCAAAAAGTTGGAACCAATAAATTCCTGGTTCCCAGGAACCAAGTCTTAGATAATGCACATGTACTTACACCTTACCTTAGAAATCCTTCCTTCCATACACCTGTGAGAATTAATCAAATTTGAGAAAGGAATGGAGCATTCTTCCAAACCAACCACAATGCAGGTACTGCTGGACAATTAAACAGCTTTAAGCTCCAAATCTGTCAAAATCTTAAGTGATCAAATGAGCCTGCTTAACCAAGACCAGTATTTTCCACCCAAGACTAAGAAATGCTACACAAGACTCCTAACCTTGGGCCAACTAACTGGTTGAGGCCAAAATCCTATCACAAATCTCTACCACAGCCTTGTCCGGCCTTGGAATTCTTCTGTGGTGTTCCCCATAAGATTCCATTAAAAGAAAAAAAAAAAAAGGAAAAAATCGTGCACTTTATAAAGTTTTAAAAAGTTAAAAGTCCCTAAATTAGATGTTTATCAAACCTCGTCTAAAAATGCAAAACTCAGCAATGTTGCTTTCATACCCCTAAAAAGGATAAAATTGAAATCAAGGTCAGGAGACTGATGATCAGCCACAGCAACTAGTCATAGCTTTGAAGCATAAAGTTAACAGTTAACATGGACAGAATGTCAACCCATCCACATTAGCACAGTTCTGTTCCTCCTGACAATGACATTTAGACACATTAAAATGAGCATCAATTAGCATCAAGACAAAACTAGGTAGGCCTTTGCCAAGAAATCTTAACTGTTTAACAACTGTGGTACTTGCCCAGATGGCATATGTGTAGATTCGTATATCTCAGATGTACATGCTTCAGATGGGTAAAATGGAAAAAGCTCAAGTACACATCATTAGTATTTTCTAGCTGTAAAAATACTCGCTCATCACATATGCCTTTCTTGAAGACAAAATTTTAACAAGTTATTTCTATAAAGACTAGAAGGTCACTATTTTCCAATGTAGGCTCAATTTACATGGTTTCACAATAAGGTGTGCCCTAAATCCTGACAATCACCAAATGGCATTTTTACTACTGAATTGAGAAAGTAAAAATGTAGGGATTTGAAGTCAAGGCTGGCCTGAGTTGTAAATACACTTGTTTAGTAGGATGAGTACTGAATAATATGAGCTTGTTTCTGCCCTCTCTTAACAGTGTACCTCTCAAGTGCTTAACCACCACATAAAAGGCCCTGCATACTATTTGGCAAAGTATTTGAAGATACTTCCTTTGCTGCAGGCCACAGCAGCGGCAGGACAAAATTTTTTTTAAACTTTCCTGACTACCTCAATGGTCTTCACTAAAGCTTCCAGCACCCAAAAGGTGGCTAATTTCAATTCAGTTCCTGGCCCTTTCCAAATTATCAGTGTGTTAATCTACTCCTTACTACTTATAATGTGGGCAACTTCTACTCCCAGCTCACTTCTGGAAGCCAATTTCAGGTCATTGTTAAGTCTTACCAGGACTGCTAGTTCAGTAAATCTCATCCCCATTAAACCCCAAACAGCTGGGATACATAAGCCAGCCATTTCACCAGTACAGTCTAACATTCCCAACTTCTTGGCCTTCCTGCCAGTACAAAGCTGGACAAGTTAGCCCACGCCTGCTTATTTGGCAGTAGTGTGGCTTTAACAAAACAAGTCAGACTGGAACTACTAAGTTTTAAAATCCTTTCAGTTTTACCTCTAAACCCTAGTGCAGTTGTACACTCAATTGCTCCTGCCCTCTAAACTATTTCATGACGACTCATTTCTTCACTTAGCCTTTCCTTATCTGTGAGCTCTGCCTTTGCCACTGCCATCTGACTCAATTCACTTGTTTTCCTCTGCTAAGGAGCTTCAAAGGGCCCTCAACTAAAAATTATTCCACCTCACTCCAGGTCCACGGGCCTGCATGTCAGAGATGAGGAAAGTAATGTTCCACACATGTATTTCATGTTAGTCTGGGAAACATTTTAGTAGTCGTCATGCGTTCCAGATAGAGAAAGAACTGGGATACCAAATAAGTCTTAAATACTGTATTATGAACTTCTGCAATAAGGGAAAAGTTACATGAACAAAACCAAGCAGATATACTAGGTTTATCAAATTTTCAATGATCTTGTCTCAGAACCTCACAAGTGTGTCACAGTTGAATTTTTTTGAAGTATCCAATGAATCTTTAATAGAAAAAAATTTACGTGGATATAAAATCGTATTTAACACTATCAGATTATTTTGATAAAAATATACTCCAACCCATCCAGTTTTTCTTCAGCTACTTTAATTATAAAAATCTTTCACATCTTCCCTGCCCCAAATGGAAAACCAGAAGGCAACAGTCCAGTATAAAAATATACAACTGGAGGACATCACCACCACCTAGATCTAGCAACTAAACCAATAGCAGGATTCTGAAAATAAAAGCACATTAAGACAAAGTACTAAACCAGCAGTTCTTATATAACCAGGGATGTTATCACCTGGGAAAACTCTCAAATAACACAGGACTAGACGACCATGAAAAACTTGAGCCATGGGCCTGGAATCAGGCTGTGTATGTTTTGAAAAATTTGTGATCAACATTATTCTTGATAAGGAGGCACTATACTAACATGAACCATGACTCTACAATAAAAAGCAACCAGGACTTGCCATCCAGATATGGGTGAGTCTAACTACAAAGGTGGAGATGCCATCTACTGATCACATCATCTTTGTAAGGAACATTAAAAAAAGTACCTAAACAAAACTCAAAAACAGTACATAAGCTTGCGTCTCATAAAATTAAAACTTCTCTGGCTAATTTTTGTCTTCACCTTTCTGTTTAAAACATGGAGTTCAGAAGTAACCCACGATAAAATGAAAACCACAAATCATCAGTCTTCACAGCCTAAAAACCAACTATAATCCTTAGTTTAAATTATCACCAAGTATTAATAGTGACCTCTAGTGAACACCAGTAGTCATTACACCACAAGTCAAAGTCCTGGTGACTACTGGATTCAACTCAGAGGATGCATGACCAAACTGGCTAATGGGACCTGCAATTTTAAAATTTTGTTTTAAATATTAGTTAACTCTACAACTTTTAATAGCCACAACCTAAAAGTAAAACGTAAGAGTTTAACAAGTTCTATCTTCCAGATTTTTTACCAACCATAAAATTGTGCTGTAGACTTCTAGTTGAAGAGATTGCAGATTTGGACTCCAAAGTCAGGATAACTCCAGGATACTAATTTTATCTCAGCTTCTGTATTAACCACATAATACCTATACTCTATTATCCTTTTTACAGGAACCTTCCAATTTAAGACTCGAAGTTGTATACTAACCCCCCCCCAAAGCCCCATCTAAATGCCTATTAAGAGCAGTGTAATTATTGGTGTACCATATCACTTGTATGGCTTGGCTATCTTGCCTTGACCCTAACAAAAAAGTATTTAGGCTATGAGGAAATGCAGAAAGACAAAAGTCTCAAAACTAGAGCTCCCAGTAAATCAATAGGTAGTCTTAAATGTCCTCTGTAACAAGGCTCATACTGAACCTCACTGATACCAATTTTCCTTTAGGACACCGATGATTTTCCTCCCTTGTTATTTGCATGAAAAGTTAAGGATCACTGGAAATCTGTTTAGGACCTATGATTTATAAAATATCCTTATAGAGTCAACTCTTAATGCAATAACTTCTTTCATATTAAAGTCAGTACAGAATAATCCAAAATTATCATTAAAAGCACATTTAAGAAAACTAAGCCACAAGAGTGTTGCATTATAATTTAATCTAATTGCACAAAAATTTGAAATTACAACTCCTCTGGATTTCTAAGAGGAACGTTATGCATGCCTCCATGTTCAATTCTGCACTGTTACATTTAAACCATATAGTGAATTTTACATCATGATGTATCAATTTAGAATTCCCATGCAACACCTCAAATTATATAAAATGGAAGCAATTTTTAAAGCTTTGTGGAAAAGTTCTCATGCTAATGATAAAAGTCCTTTTTAAGGCCAACTTTGGGTTATAATGTACCAGGCTGCTAAACTTTAAAATGTTGGTCACTGAGTATCATGGACTTTGAACTGGCTTCTACTTCTAAAATATGGTAAGTACTAACAATCACTTAGGTGACAACCACGTATCTCCTTTACTTCAAAAGCCTCAATTTCGTTTCTAAGATTTGTGTAACCAACTGCTTTCCATGGGACAAGAACTATGGTAATAGTGGGTTCAACTATTACACAATTATGCTATTATTTTATTAATTCAAAAGCACTTTTTACAAGAAAATAAGTATGGCTTCCAATAGGAATGTTATACCTGAACTTGATACCAAGCTCACAGATTTAGTTTTGCAAGGAAAAACAAGCTTTCAGGTTAAACAACAATTTGTAACCAAAACTTTAATCCCAAGGATTCTCACAAAACATATTACAAATGACAGCATGAAAAAAAAACTTTGCACAGTAACTCAAAGTTCAGCTCTACAATGTACCCTTAAACTGGCAGGACACTGGTATCTTGAATAGTCTCAAATTTCCAAATAAAGAATGTTATAGAGAGATATGTGTTCACATACAGCAATCACATAAGAAACTTATAACCTAAAGCAAAAGTAAACTAACTTTCTTGAAAATTCTTAGATTCTACACCAACTAGACCTCTGCCCAGTGTGAAAATGAGTTGGGTTTAAAAGAAAAAAAAAATTTTAACCACTAATCTAGTTTAATAGTGCAGCTTTAATTTTTACCTGCTGGCTTGTGTTCACAGCAGCTTTTGAAGACTGCATGTTCAACCACAGCTGCATATTACATCCCAGCTATGAAAAAAATCTTATGTTCAATTTTTGCCAGTTGTTTCCACATTAAACATCACACTGTAGCTGGGCAGGAATTAAGAGGTTTATTATCTATCAGTCTACGCACCACTAAATAAAGTTCAAAGCAAATTCAATTTTGCTTAAGGGAACATTGTAAAGTAACAATTCTTGGTATTATACGCCTCTGAAGATCCATTTCAAACCACAGAGAATTACATCTTTGTCACTGTTCCAAGACAAACAAATGTGAACAGCTAAAACATCTTAAAAATGCACCAAGCTTATGAAGTCTCAAACAAAACTTGAATTTTCTGTACATACTCCTGTCAAATGAAGTTATTTCCTGTACACCACTCCTCTTGCAAACTGGTCTTCTATTTCCTTTCATTTGACCTAGATCGGCTAAAAAACAAAAAAAACACAAGTTGCATCTGTAACTTGGTGACAATTAACAAAACATCAAAATGTTTTATGGAAGTAATAAAAATATTATCAAAATGGCTTGAGAAAAGACTCATTTGTTTCTAATATGTTATGTATGCAAGGTCTTAAATGGCTCAAGTCATTGAATATCTTACCTACGAGACCTAGAGAAGGATCGGGACGGCTTGTGATTTCTCTCCCGAGACAGTGATCTCTCTCTTCTCCTATCTCTAGAAAGGGACCTATAAATGCAGAGGGGAAAGAAAAATGGGACCATTCAGGATTACACACAATAAACATTTGTAGAAAGTCTTTGAAAATTAAAAGCTCTTTCAGTCTTACAACTCAACACTGGTTCTATATACCATCTGATTCGTTACTAAAGTCAAGGGTCTACGCCCATTAACCAAATCATTTGGAAAACAATTTGGGAATGACGGCAACACTACCATTTCTGAGAACGTGGCCAAAAAAAGGCAGTTATTTACCTGCTCCGGCTGCGGGAGAAGCTTCTCCGTCTTGGAGATCTAAAAGCAGAAAAAGGAAAGTTAGGCTAATTGTCAATTAGTATTTATGGCGTGAGGCATTTCCCAACTTTTCATTCTCACTGTTGGGCCCAGTGAATGTGCCGAAGAACTGGCACCCATCGTCCAAAAACAAAACAAAACAAAACAAAAGAAAAAAAAGAAAAGAAAAAAAAGGCACAGAAGGATTAAGGAACCAAAAGCTCAAGTGAAAAGCAGGTATTCCAACCATGGATTCACTTTAACAAAGAATGCTTCACAGCAGATCTGTCCAATGCAAAACTTCATGTCAAACTAACTTCACTACCCAAAACACCACACCAAAATGTAGTCCCACAAGTAGTTCCAAAAACAGTACCATAAACCAGTATTTGGAACCCATGCAAACCTGTAAGTCCATGACAAGACTTAGGTACCAGGTGGATAGTGTAATTTTGTGAAAACGCGCTAGGTGTAAATATTGATGCCATTAAGTGCTACATTAGAACTGCATTTGTGATCGTCACATTTAAGAGTGTGTTTAGACTTATCAAAATTACCTTAGCTTGGCCCACTTCACCCCCAAATTTTTAAAATTTTGAAAACGGTTAGTAAAACCATTTAAAGGTGATAGGAGTGAACAAATTTTTGCTAGAAAGGAAAGCTAAATCTGTTAGTTATTAAAATTTTTAGTTTGGCATCTCACACATGCAAATAAGTTTCACTGGAAGGTCTAAGTTACATTATGAGTTCCCTATCACCCTTAAAAGTTTTATTCAAGCAATATATATGTACATTACCATTCAATTATGCACAGCCAGCCTTTGATCCAGAAAAAAGAATTACTTTAAGCCGCTTACTCCTTATTTTAACCAGCAGTAAACTGTATAAGCAGGAAAAACTTACTAGTTTTGGGTTTCAACAAGCTAGAAATGGTGAGGTGAGGCTGCCGGACTGACGGCCAGGAAGAATTTGCTGAAAAGGTTTTGCCAGATGTTGCGTTGGATTTAGTTGGTTGGCGAAGGGGGTGTTGTGGATTTTTCCTGCTTTTTTGTTAGCCGAAGGCTGCTGCTGTAGTTGTTGTGAAGACATTTGGTAAATAAACAGCTGAGCTGATTGGCCAGGAATGTGTGGGCGGTCGAGGTGGCTGCTGCCGATTTGGTTAAGGTTGGAGAGAAGGCTGAGAGAAAACAGCATGCTCGGGAACCAAAGGGCGGTGCAACCTGACGACTGGCCATGCCTGGGTCATGTGAAACGACACCAGCCAAGCTGAATGGGGCGCGCTGGTCACATGACGCTGAAAGGGCTAGTTGACTGGCTAATGCAGACTCAGAGGGTGGTGAGAAGAGACATGATGGTGACTCTGTAACGGGGTTCATTTTTATTAATAGATGGACCAAAAAGCACAAAAAAAAAATGAAAAACAAGCCATCAGTACAACCATCTATTAGCTAACAAATACTCTTTATTATGATGGGCAACAGTGTGTTTTGTTTTTCAAAATAGCAAAAGGGGCAAGATTTTGAACTCGTTATCTCCTAGAAGGACTTCACTCACCTGTAAGAGGTAAATTCAGTCCTATAGAAACTATTTTGAAGGTCTGAGGAGATGTGGAGTTATAGCAACCAAACAACACTGTCTGGTCCAAGAATGATGCCATTTTCAATTATAAAAAAACTGAATTCTCTCCTATTTGGGTTTGAAGAACAGATGACTGGGATTACTTTTTTCGCCCCCTTTATTGGTCAGTGACTTTCGTTTCAGAATGATTTCTATTTTACCAGTTGTAACATTAAAACAGCTGCCTGTTTGATAAATATTACAATCGTGCTAATAGAAAACACATTTTTGTGAAGAGCTAGAGTTGAATGTAATGTTTGTCATTATGGAGTCAAGAAATGGAAAAAGGCCTAAATTGAAGTACAAGGGAAGACTTGGAAAGATGCAACTAGAAGATGAACTAGAAGACAGATCCAAGATAGAAGTTACTGACTACCAACATGAACCTAAAGACAAAAGCCAACACTCAGCACAACTCACATACCCCAAACTACACCCAGCAAATGTTTCATAAAAACCTCCGATTCTTCAAAGTTTAAAACCCACCAACAAATTTAAGAGAAATACCTGCTCCTATTAGCTACTCCATTACAGCAATACCTCTAACCACGCTCTCTCTCAAGTACCTGCGGCGAGGCGGAGGACTCCTTCTCCGATAATCATCTCGAGGGCGACGACCCCAAGAGGGAGGTGGGCCACGATTTCGACTTCTCTTTTCACCATTCGACAGTTCCACTCTTACTCGGCAGCCACAAAGTGTTCTAGGAAGAAACATTAATTTTAAAACAGCCAACCTGAATTTCTAAGAGATATGTTTTAAAGCAAAAAAAACAAAAACAAAAACAAAAAACACACTCTTACTTAGCTTCTTAGCAAAGAACACATCTGAATGCCTCCAGAATCCTTAATACCAAAGCAAGTTTTGGTTCCCCTTTTCTTAAAGGAAATCAACTAACTTCATTACATTTTATTGCTCTAAGTCAGTCTGATTACTGGGCTCAAGGTTAATTTAACAGTTGCAATTTAAGTGTGAAAACCTCTGGATTCATCCTCAAAGAACTAGTTCATCTACTGTCCCTGTTACTTCTTCCTTTAGGTCCCAGCACTTGTTTACTGACCTTACTACACTAAGTTTGGTCTTCCTCTCCCCCAATTGTCCATGTAAACAAAGCAATTAAACAGGACAAAAACAATTGGCCATTTTATATCAACCCCGCTCCTCAATAATCCCTTGATAGTTGACATGTAAGAAAAGGCAGCAGAAAAAGGCAATTATCGCCCACCTCTTCATCAGTCCATAACCATTTAGTTTAGATAAGGCACCATATTCCGACAGTGGAAAAAGGTGGGGCCCTGGAAACATTTTTTTGCTATCTACCTGGATAAAAAACCTTTTATACAGCTTTATAGCCATCTCTCAAACCATTTAATTTGAGGGGAGCTTAAGGATTAAGTTTTCCTTGGTTTCAAGAAATCTAATGGTTTTCCAAATGCCAACTACAAGGAGGAAGGCAACACCTGTTCACTGTTAAGGCTCGAATGTTATTTATTAGCCAGCTAACTGGACACTAATTACAAAGGGAAACGGCTATACAATCCACACTTCCTTAAGGAAGTATTTCAAACACATAAAAGATAATGGTACGATAAATCCTCATGTAACCATCATTCAACTACAGCAATCATCAGTCCGTGGCCATTCTTACTGAAAGAAAATATTTTATTCCAAATTGTTTTGAAAACAATTCAAAAATGACAACACAGTTGACACCGTGGAGAATTTAGATTAAAATGTTCTGACCTTTTTCTGGATGCAATTGATCCGCCTAAGAATTGACCATTAAATTATTTTCTTCAATGGCCAATAAAAACTTCCTACTTATCTCCAGTAAACCTGTTGTCCTTTTTCTGATTGCAAAAGTTTTATGTGTTATATCCAGTAACATCAATTTCAGATACCAAGAAGTAATCCAAAACTACATATCCCAGAAATGTTAAATATGAGAAACACAAGCAACATATTTACCATTAGTAAAAATCAATCAAATTACCTCCCATCTAGCTCTCGGACAGCATCGGCTGCATCCCGGGGATCTTCAAATTCAACAAAAGCGAAGCCGGGAGGGTTTCTAGCAACCCACACACTTCGGAGTGGTCCATAATAGCCAAAAGCTCGTTCCAATTCAGTCTTGTTACCGTTGTTTCCAAGATTACCTACATAAACCTTACAATCCAATGGACAGGAATCACGATGCATTTCTGTTAAAAAAAAAAATTCTGTTTGAAGATTTACTCAATATACACAGTGAAAAACATATCCTTAGGGAAAAATGCCAAAGTACTAAACACCAAACAAGTAAAATTATCACCCTTGAGTCACCTGTTTCTCCCTAATCGTTCCTGGTAACCGCCAGGAAGTCAGCACAAATTGCTTAAGAAAAAAAATGCCTCCTTGAAAAGCGAAGGAAAAACACTGGATGAGACCTTACTACACTCTGGGCACCGAGTTAGAAACTTTACCCGTTACTTCAATTAACCTTGAAAATAAGAAAATTAGACATATGGATAACCTGCTCAGAAGCAAATATTGAAATACTGGGGACTCAAAACCAAATGAGCTACATGCAGAAGAGAAGTAGTTAAGGCTAAACAACTAGAAACAATATTAATGTGCCTTAACACCAAAACTTAACCAGCTTCATTTCTAAAGCAACAAGACTGTTAGGTTTTTTAAAAATGTACCTCAAAAGCAGCACTATTCTTAAGGGCCAGAGAGTATTAACCCAAACGTCCATCAACAACGGTTAAAGCAAAATGTATTATCCATACAATGGATTATTCAGTAAAGTACTGATACTACAAACGTAGATGAACCTTAAAATTGCAGTTATAGAAAACACAGAGGTGCACACAACTCCATGTATGTGAAAAATGTCCAAAACAGGTAGATCTAGAGACAGATTAGTGGTTACTAGGCTGGGGTGTAAAGACAGGGGAAAGGGGGAGTGGCTACTAATTGGTACAGGTCTCCTCAGGAGGAAAAATCACAATGTTCTGTAACTAAACAGATGTGATGGCTCCACATTATGAATGTACTAAATGTCACCGAATTGTAGTTTAAAATGAATCTTACATTAATTTTACCTCAAGTGGAAAAGATTAAGTATTTGTTATGAAAGAATTTACTGCACTTTACGGGTTTGTATTAGATAAACCTTCACCACAAAGTTGCCTTGGCAATGATTCTATTCACCTTAGGCCAGTTTCAATTGCATGGAAGAGCAGCCTACTCAAATACTCAAGAGTTTTTCATAACACCACGTTCTCCCCGCTCTGGATTATTTAAAAAAAAAACCAACAACAACAAAAACAAAAAAAAAACCAATCCAGTCCACACACATCCTATTTGCGTGACCCCACCCTGTGCTCAGGAGGTGAAACCAAATCATTGCCGGGGCTGATTTTTTAAAAATTTTGCCGTGACCAGTTTCAGACCTACAGTTTAATGAGAACAAGAACGATGCTGCTCAAAGACGATCGATTTAAAAAAACAACAAAACGAGGTTCAGCTTTAAAAACTGAAATGACATAAAAAGAAAAATGAGTACAGAAAGCTTGATTAGTGACTTGAGGAAAAAAATCCTAAGACCTCCCTAAGAAAACGTGGTGCAAAAAAAAAAAGGCGCCATAAATTGCAAGGCCGCGGCCTGGAGTACATACAACATGGTTACCAGCTCCCCTCTGCCTAAACTCTCGGGTAATCCCACACCCCACTTCAGCCCCCAGTGGAGAGTTACAAACATCTTCACTTCAAGGCCGAGGGACGGCCTCTGGCGGGCCTGGAGCCCTCGCCACCGCCCGTGCTGAACGTCACAAAATGGCGGCGGCGTCTCTTTGTCTCAATCTGGCACCGCCATTGGGCCTGACCCCAACCTCCATACTCTTCAAGTTCCACTTCCCACTTCCCTCCTTTGGACGCTGGTCTCTTACCGAAATCTTGGGTTAGAAACGCGGAGGCTCAAATCCACACACCCTCGGACGGGCCTTCCGCTCCCCTCCGCCCAGCTCCCGTAGATACGCTCACGGACCCGGCGTCCACGAAATGGCGGACCTCCGCCTTCTCCTTGCCCCTATTTATACGGCATGCTGGAGTCACATGATTGGGCGGGCTCACCCAATGAGAAGCCGAGAAGGCCGTGACGTACAGCCGCAAACGCAACTAGAACCGCGGTTGCTGGGAGCGCGCTTTGGCCGCGCCACACGGTCTATGGAGACTTGCGCCGCCGCTCTCCCGGCGCCAGAAGTTTGGAGCTACCTGAGGTGTTCCCCCGTTGCCGATCTTCCAAGTTACCCTCACTCCTCTCTCCCTCATCTCCAAATAGGCTGAGATTATTAACACTACTGCCGTCACTCCCAAACACTAATAGATCCATTTGCTTTTAATAATCCTCGCCAGCGGTTAGGCTGGAACTAAGACCATCGCGTTTACAAACGTGCATCAGAGTTGCTCCCAAGGTCACTGAGCTGTTGGTGACCGAGCTGTCACAAGATTGTGCCCGCCCAAGTCCTACACTTAAGGAAAAGCCTGATCCTGGAAAGTTTGCCCAACTCTGGCTGGTTTCCCGCCTCTCACCCAACTGCGAGATTTGGCAGAGACGGGTGGCGTCATCGGCCTGGACTCTTTTTTTTTTAAGTGTTTAATAGAAACTCCAAAGGCAAATGAAATCGGCCAGGCCATCTAGAAACTATCGCCTTTAGCGAATAACAATGAAAGGAAGTTCCTGAAGAAGACTGAATTTAAATTCTGGCCCCCAAACAAATACCGGGAAGGGCACCCCTAATCCTTCTCCTGGAAAAAAAGGCTGCTGTATTGATTTGGGGGTGGAGTAGGGGCTCGTGGGCCACTCACACCTTCCTCTTTTCCACTCCCCCTAGGAATACAGAGCCGCAAAAATAATTATATAGTGGGAGAGAAATACCACGATTGTGTTAGAAAAATCAATATCTCCCTCTCTGGAACAGTGAGTTCATCGAGAAGTTTGCCTGATGTCCTCAAACTTTCTCCTCTCCCCTTTTGCATTGGTGTCTGAATGAAATTCATTTAAATCTGCTCTCAAGAAAAAGAAGACAATAACTTGTATGTTCGGTCATTAGCTGAATGATATGCTAATTGTGTCTTATCTCTCCTAGACATTTTTGCCTTATCTCTTATTGTGGTTCTAAAATGTTTTTCCACAGTGGGGGAAATAAATGCCAAAATTTAATTGCCCTGGGACTTAAGTTTTCTTACCTGTAAAATTGGAATTTCATACCGCAAGGGAAGAGGGGGAAAGAACTCCAGTTGTTGAGCCAGGCCCTGGGCTGGCCTTCCTTACCTGTGTCATTTCCAGGTGGGGGATGTGGTTCTAGCAAACTCTCTTTCACTTCTTATTTTTCTATCCTTCTCTAAATGTTTTTCTCTTCTGGCTCATTTATATTTGCCTTGACTTGCTCCCCTCCTCTATGGAAACTTTCTCCTCTTTAATGTTTTCTTTTGCCAAAGCAAGGGCTTTGAAATCAGACAGTCCTGGATTAGGGGACTGCTACACTTACTGCTAAGATGTCTTGAGAAGAATTTCTTAACCTGTCTCAGGATTAGTTTCCTCTCTGTAAAATGAGATAATATTACCAGTCTTTCAGGGTTGTTAAGTGCTGTCTCCTCCCACAGGAACTTCAGCTTTTGTCTGCTGTGGTCCCTACTGCATCACTAGGGCCTGGAAACAATTCTGGCACATGGCAGGTGATCAATACATATTTTTTTGATTATTTAATTCAGTAAAAGAAATATATATGTAAATCACCTGGCACAATCTCTGCTCAAAAAATGCTGTCTAGCTCATCTGCAAGCCAAAGAAAGAGGCCTCAGGAGAAACCAACCTTGCCAACAAGGAACTTGAACTTCTGGCTTCCAGGACCGTGAGAAAATAAATTTCTGTTGTTTAAGACAAAAAAAAAAAAAAAAAAGCTGACTCTTTTTAAATGTTCTTTTCACATCTCAGTATCCCATTCTTTGCTACTATTTTTTCATGTTTGTTTATATGTATAACGCTAGTCTAGCATGTGTCTTTCAATGGAGCACTCTTAATTCCTCCAACTGTATTCATGGATATATTTTGAACCTCCTCTGGCTATCCACACATAATTTCCATCTCTGGTAACTGCAGCCAAGTGAGTTATCCATTTAAATTATGGAACATTTTAATATTTCTTTAAATCTATTCGACTACCAACCGGTTGTTCTAGACACTAGAACCACATTAAGCTCCAAGAAGACACATCAGAATTTCGTGGTGGGGACGGAATGGGGATCATATGTTTTAGTGACCATCTCTCGGTTTTTGAGGAACTACCTTTCTCACAATAGACCACATTACTGACTCAGATGTGGTTGGGCCCTACAACCCACTTTTTCAGGGTAGGGACGTGACCGCCTCTGATTAATTAAATCGTTCCAGTTCTTATCCCCCATTTCTACCCCAATTAGAATGAATGAGTAATCCAAGAACAGTCAGCTACTAATTCCAGCACTACTACTAGGCCAACCAGAGAAAGATATGCTCAGTTCCTGTGACTAGTGGGTTCCTGAGCCATGGCAGCCATCCTGTTTCCAGAAGGGAAGAAGCAGCCTGTGGTGGACCCAACCTAAAGGGAAGGAGAGCTGAGAAATGGGGAATAAAGAGCCCTGAGCCTCTTGTCAAGGAAGCCCTAAACCCATTTCCACTTTTGTGATTCCTAGTTATTTGAACATCCAAGTTGCCTACCTCTTCCCCCAACTCGTCTAAGCCACTTTGAGTTGTGATTTTTTTCCCCTGGTCACTTGTACATGGAAAGATTCCAAATATTGAAACTACTATGACATAGAATTCTCACTACCTCAAGTTGAGAACCATGGCACTAAATTGTCTTCCAATTCTAAAAACTTCACCTGTTACCAATTCCACTAAGTACTTTTTTTTTAATTTAAAAGAAAAAGTTTCTGATGGCTAGGCATTAATATCTACGTATAAGAATTAATAGTTTAAATATTGTAGTTAACTTCAAGTATCCATGAAGGAAAAGCTAATAAGAGTATGGACCATAACAATAGTTCATTAACTACTTGGTTTAGTCACTGTGGCAGGAAGCAGGACACTCAACAAAGGGTTACTGAAGAGGTAATTATTTATAGATGTATGGGCAGAGTTAAGGAAACCCACAAGGGAAGAGAGAACTCCCAGAGGCAGCTCTCAGGCCCAATGGGCCAAGGAAAGGAGCAGGATTACCAGAACCAGCCAAGTGCCACAGCTATGAAAAGAGGTTATTATGGCCTTAGGTAGAGGCACTGCAGTAGCCTAATTATGGGTTGGTTGGTTGGTTTTTTTTCCTTGGAGGCAGGAAGATAAGAGGTGGAAGAACTGGACTATTCTCTTCTCCCATAGTCCCATCTTTTAATGGTGACTTCTATAGCACAAAGCCATCTGGAAACCTGAGTGCGAAAGAGCGGGATGATGGAAGCCTAAAAGTCAGCCTCCCAGGGCACAGAAAAAAGCATACGACAAGGTCTGAGAAGGTTCCCAACACAGAGTTTCTGTGCATCAGCCTTCCAGCACATCAATGTGTTCCAGATGATGGAAGACTAAAAGTCAGCCTCCCAGGGCACAGAGCAGAGCAGAGAAGACTGGAAAACTAATCTAGGTCTGTGCTGTTCAATACAGCAGCCACTAGGCACATGTGGCTATTTGAGTCTGAACTGAGATATGCTCTAAATGTAAAACACATATGAGATTTCAAACTATAAAAAGAAGGTAAAATATCATAGTATTAACTTTTATATTGAATTCATGTCGAAATGTTAATATTTTTGATGTATTGTGTTAAAAATATATTATTAAAGTTAACTTCATCTATTTTTTATACTTTTTTAGCTGTGGCTACTAGAACACAAAATTATATGCGTGGCTCGCATTATATTTCTATTGGGTAGTGTTGATCCACCAAGACAAAAGGAAAATAACTACATACAATTACAACAAATAATCATTTAAAAGTTCATTTTAACCACATGGTTTCACTTATGTGTAGAATCTAAAAAAACAAAACAAGACAAAAGCAGACTCACAAAAACAGACTAAAGGGACTGCTACCAGAGGGAAGGGTGTGGGGGATGGGAGAAAAAAGTGAAGGAATATAGTCAATAATATTGTGATAAGTTTGTATTGTGACAGATCATCACTAGAATTAGTAGAGTGATCACATTGTAAGGTATAAAAATGTCAAATAACTATATTGTACACTTGAAACTAATATAACTAATATAATATTGTATACCAACTATACTTAAATAAAATTTTTTTAAAAATCAAGAACTTGGCTACTATAATAAATTATCATAAGAAAAAATAAAATTAAATAAATAAAAACTCATATCCTGTGAAAATAGTGTTCTTGCAGTTTTAAGCTTTTTTTAAATTAATTGCTTTGATACTTTGAGATACCACTCTTCTATGTATTTTTATATGATTCCCTGAAACAGTTTTTGGATCATCTTTCATAGTTAACAATCATTCATTCATTCAAGAAGTTTTTATTAGATACCTTCTTCTATTTTCCAAACACTGAGATGGATTTGGAGGAAAAAGTGGTAAGCCAAAACAAAGCTTCAGGCTGTCAGCACTGGTCTAAGTTCCAATATAGAGGGAAATTAGAGAAAGAATCACACAAGTACTTGTGAAATTATTTATGTGGAAAATGGTCTGGGGAGGGAAATGGTGCTTTAAGAACAAATATATCATAGGAGAGATTGGCCCAACTAGGTAAACCAGAGAAGACTTTACGAAGGAAGTGGTGATTGAGCAAAAATAAGAGTTAATGGGCAAAGTTATTGAGAGGAGTGAGAGAATGTTCCTGGAAGAGTACAGAATGTGTAAAGTTCCTGTAGTTAAGTCAGAAGAATTTTTTAAAAAAGAAAAAAGCCAGTGTGGCTGTGCACAAAAGTGAGGGATAGACTTAAAATTAATAGTATGTAAAATGTTCATTTTATACATGTGTTCATTCAGATATCAACAAGAAGGTTACCAAGTTCCTATTAAGTGGTTTCAATAGAGCAAGATGAATCAGTCACTTTCATT